CATCAGCGCCGACGCGCCGCGTCTTTCTCCCTGCAGGAGAAGGGAAAGATCACCAGGTCGCCGAGTTGCAGAAATCACCTCCCAGAAAGGTGATTTTCTGTGATAAATCAGTTTGGGGCTGACAACAAGTAACTAAAAGTACAATTTAGTTTTTTAAAGCAAATGTCACCCTAATACAAACAACATCTTATCTTAGGCTGCTTTGATTAATGGAGGATTCAGGAGTTTTCATGACATTTTCCTGCTAAGCATGACTTTAAATTGTCGAATTCAAACAGCATGTATGTTTGGCTGCTGTTGTCATTATTATTATTATTAATATTACCTATTTACTCAGTTATAGCTGAAAATGTATTTTCCCTAACATGTCTGAAACAAACCAGACTGACTGGAGCAGAGGTTCCTACAGCCGGTCCGCCTGAAACTCCATACTACAGTCAACATCAACAAACACCACAATAGTTACGTTTTGTCTGCTTCGATTCAGACAAACGAATTCAGACTCAGACAACAAGAGCGCTACAGTAGCACTACTGTGTGCTCCAGCTGCAGGCTGCCTGTAGCACCTGACACTAGAAGTGTGTCATATATGTTCTGAAATCAATTAATGCTCTATTTATCGAGCAAACGTATTTTTTGGGTTGTGGAAAATGACTTCATCAGAAAATCCTGTTGCTGTAAAAATCGATTTATTCTGTGCCTGTCGTTTGTCACTGTCATATTTGGTTCACAAGAAAACCATTTCATTGTGTTAAGTTTGGAATCGTCGTCGTCTATTTATCAAATCCAGCGGTCAGGCTGCAAGTTACTCGTCGAAGTCACTACGTTACTGTGTTACTGTTTTCTTTTGTCATTGAATTTCATTCCCTCTGTGCGTCTTGTGCCGTTTCTACGCGACAGCATCCGCAGCGACAGAAACATAAACAATGTGATTTTCAGAGGCGTTGTTGTAATCAGCAGCTGAAAGTTAGTAAAAAGTTACTACTAATGTAACCTGGTTACTTTCCAAATCAAGTAATCAGTCATCTAACTAGGTTACTTGTTAGTTGACACAGTCGCCCATGATCGACCGACGCACACCGGTTGGTGATGTCATCATGGCCGTTGTGAATGCGGCGCCTGGACGCACCTTTCAGCCACAGCCCTGCAAAGGTGCTGCACTGAACTGTGGCCGTTGATGTGGCAAATGGCATTTCCACGGCTGACGGCGCGGTCTGCCGAGTGTTGATTGAGAGGCCAGGCCTCAGAATCAGCCCCGTGAAATGGTCTGAGCAGAGAGAACCGAAGCATGTGGTCTTTGTTGTTCACCACACGGTCGTGTTTGCTCAAAGGCCCACTGGAGCCGTAGAACTGAGTTATTCTCCCATCCAGAGAGCGAGAACGACATCAGTAACATTTACGGACAATTTGAAAGCGATGTGTCCATTTGATCTTCCTCCTCACCACGAGGAAAACCATCTGAACAAATAAGCAATAGAGTAAGTTTATTGCGTTAATATGGATTCCTATCCTGCTCATTCCAGAACCCAGAGGACCTCTTTAAAATAACTCAAACCCCTGAACTTGTCAAACTTTCATCCAAGGAAATCTTTCACATTTTTCCACGCGGCATGCAAATTTGTTTCAACTGTTACCCTAAATTATGAACGCCTTTTCTTTTTTTCCTTTTTTTTTTTTTCCTATGTGGCCCACACTAGCAGAGCACTTGCGTTACTGCCAGTCAAGCAGATTGTTTTCTTGTAATTCTTGGACCTAAACGTCGAACAAGAGATTCATTAAAGCTAATATAAAGAAATGACCTTTTTTATAGAAGGTCCTGACCCTGAAAAGACTTTGTATGTTTTGATAGATGGCAAAATTCAAGCAGGCATTTCCAGTCCCGTCCTGTTTGCAGGTAAATCTTTAAAGTAATAAACTTATATTAAAGTCACTTGTCTAGTATGATGGATTTCAGCTGTAGAGCCACAACTTCTGCTAAAACTTAACAATATTTGGATCTCGGCCCCCACGCAATTTATCCCCACGCCAGTTCTTCTCCAGAGAGAGGATATTGTTCAATCACTGAGGTCTGCCTCTGCTGGGATGAAGTCATTATTATTTTTATTTTCTTTTTTTCTAAAAAAGGATTTTTCCATCATAACACAACTTGAATTTTAAACCAAGCTTACACAAACACACATGCAAAGATTTCCTGGACGTCTGTAGCTGGAAGTAATTAGATCAAGCTTCACAAATAGCTGATTTCAAAATGAGCAACCCCTCCTGTCTGTTTGCAGCGGCGAGCCGCTGAGTCATGTGAAACCATAACCCCCAAGGTCAGACGAAGATAATGAGCCCGCCTAATTGCATCGCTGCTCTCTGGCAGCGGCGAGCACAAACTGTTATACCGCCGGTTCCACTGTAAGGGAATCGTTGCTTCTCGTTGCTGAAAGGATTCGCTAGTGGAAGAATTTAAGCCAATGAAACGCCAGCAGCCTGGACTCCAGTGGCAGCCCTGGATAGCGCTGGACCCTTCCGTGCCATGTTCACAGAGGCACGTCACAGGCTATTTGTCATCGTTTGGTCGTGTGTGGGTGTGTGTGTGTGTGTGTGTTTGGGGGAGGGCGATGACTGAGAAACGATCAGATTTTAATTCCTGTGGCAAACCTTTGGAGCTGTTAACATACCAGCGGAGTCTGCCGTTCCCAAAATGCCTGAGCGATGCTGATGGAGAAGCAAACAAATGTCCGGCTGTGGTGACCGACTACACCATACATGTGTACAGCCTGCGAAAACTACTTTAATCGCTTTTTTCTTTATCTGGATAGGAGTTGAAAGCCAAAACGTCCGTTGTTGTTTACTTTCTTACCTTGTTTGGTTGTGGAAGGAAGAAAGGATTTGAAGAATTTCCATCTTAATCAAACTCGCTTCAACCAACAACCTTATTAACACCTGAAAACAAAACCTGGGTTTCGGTCAGTGAAGAACTGCAGTCATCTCTCTGCTTTTATATCTCTGAATTGCCAACCGTAGGACTACCAGGCCTTTATTGGCTGAAGATTGAATTAGGGGGGTGCAGTTAGGATAAACTATCCGAGAAATCAAATGGCTCATGGATTCAAGGTAAAAGCAAACATTTCTCATAATTTGTTGACTTTAAGGGGTAGGGTTAGAAGGGTTGCTAATCCTAACCCCATTGGAAAGAATGCAGTGAAGAGCTCAGCCACCGATGCATTTAAGTCTTCAGGATGGGATGTACTGGCACTGATTTATACACAAGCCCCTGTGTTACCCTCTGAGTCCACCTTCACATCTCCACCAAGCTGGTTCTGTAATCCGAACCACTTTGGTGCAAGCTCACATGTACAGAGGACAAGATTTGAGACGTATAATCGACCAAACTGCATCTTAAGACGGCGCTCGTCTGATTGTCCACTGGACGGAACAGATTTTTGAAAGATTGAACAATTTTTGGTGGACATGAATGAAGTAAGGGATTCATTACCAGATTTCTGCAGGTCTGAAGTGTGTGCTAGAGCATGGATGTATCTAGAAGATGCAGGATTGTAGCTCTCAAGGACTGGACTAGGCCACCCTGTTTTAGGTAAACTATCTAAATAAGCTTGTGCAAAGTAAAAAGATCTGCTAAATAATTTGAGGCTATTGGCGTTTTGAATGAAGTGACGGTCCTCCAACATTTTGTGCCTCGTTATCTCTCCAATATCATCAACATTTTGCAACACATCGTTTCTTGACGTGCTGCAGACAAAGGAGGATTGCAGGCCTGTAGCTAAACAAACCTTGAGCTCAAGGGATCAATGGACCCAAGAGTGAGTCAACAGGAGACAAGCACACACAGAACCTTCCTTCCTTCCTCCCTTCCTTCCAGAGAGGAAATGTTCTCTCCATAAATATTTGGAGTTTGCTAATTGAAAGAATCTGCACAGCTGCAATTCCAGGAGGTTTCTTTAAACACAGCTCTCATATGGGCCCTTTGTGCCTGTCCCCTTGTTCATTAGCATCGAGTGAAATGAGCTGGGGCTTTGGTAAACAGTGGGACGCACACAGGTTGGATTTGATCGCTCCCTGGTATTGTGTGCACGATGATCAGTTGTCTCCCCCCACCGCCGCCGAAGACCCCTTTTGTTTTGCTTTGCCATAAGCATTATCCTTGCTCCTTGATTAGCGGGGGCTGCTACATGCAACATCACCAGGACGTGCCTTTCATGTAGGTCTTTGAACAACATGTCTGCATGTCACTGTTTGCATTTGGAATTAGAATGCAATGAACATATGTGAATATTTTAGATTTTTTTTTCTCCCACGCTGCACAAACACACGTCAGACTGTTTGCAGACGGTTCTGCTGCCCCTCATGCTGAGCAGCCACGACCGTGGACTCAGAATAAACAAGGGCATACGTATGTAGCGCACATAAAAGGCGGGCAAACTAACAGAAAGTATACATATATGTATATAAGTTGTCATGAAACAGCGTGAGCTTTTCCCCTCCTGCAGGTCGCGGTGATAAAATAAAAACATCCAACCTCAGCAGACATCTTGGATGGAGTCCAGCAGCTCTTCCACTGGGACGTGTAGCTGTTGGATGTAAATCACTTGCCTTTGAACTGCAAGTGTGACGAGTCTGGACCACCAGAGTGTGATCTGTTGCCGGTAGCAGCACAGCAAAAGATTGAAAAAAAAATTCAAATTATAACTACTTCCATTAACTTGCTCATTTGTACAGTTTCAGCAACAACTAAAAACCTGAAAACAACTAAGTTCATTAGGTGTCAGCGTTGATGCATACAGTTTAATCCTCCAATGTTTCAGAAGTTTTCACACACTGTCCAACAGGACTGGCTCTTATTCAGTCACGTTTTCTACATTTGTGCAAACTCTATTTTCATTTAACCAGCAATATGTAATGGAACGTTAATTTATAACTTCTCGTCTTGACTGGAGATCCGGAGTCACTTTGCCGGTCTCTGGGGAAGTCAGTGTTGCTGATGTGAAGCTAGATTAGCTGATGCACCGAGGAGGACTGTTGAGATTACTGGACTAAAATGTTGGGGCGTGTGGAAACCAGCGGTCCAGTTTCACGTCCACATCTACCAGCTGGTTTGATGGAAGGTGAGAAAACCAGAGCTTCCCTGTTGCTGTCCGGAGTCTTTGTGGCGATGGTGGGTGTCACCTTCACATCCATGGGCTGGCAGCACTACCAAACCCTTCTCAGCTTCCAGTGGACCCAACTTCTGGGCCCCTTCCTGATCTCAGTCGGGGGTACCTTCATGCTCACCAGCGTCTGCAGGTTTAGTTGGGTGTCCTGCTGGACTCGCAGGCAACAGGAGGAAGAGATATATGTTGTTCCTGTGCGGGAACAAAACTCCAGAGGTCACCTGGTTGTGGTTCATCCCATAAATCAGCCGGTGATGTTCCAGGGCGCCGCGACGATGCTGTGTATCCCACCAGCTTACGACCTCGTGACCCAGGAGGCACGACCACAAGACGATCCCCGGCCCGGTAGCTCTGTGAGGGGCGGCAGCTCAGACCTTCTGCCTTCGTACGAATCTCTGTACTGCTTGGACAACGCAGCGTTTGCGGCAGTAGACCGTACACCGCACAGCGCAGAGGCAGGTCACAGAAGCAGGTAACCGATCGACTTTATTTAAACCCCAAGTTTGCATCCAGTGCCTTGCACAAGTGGCCATAACCCTTGACCTTTTCCTACATGTTGTGATAAAAATGACAGATTATTTGATATGTATTTGATGCTTTGGCTGACAGAAGGGAAATTGCAAAGTGGAAAGTGTTAAGTCTTGTTTGTGAACTTATCATACCAGAAAAACATGAAGCGTATGGTGTGTTTTTGTATTCCCCCCCTCACTTAACTGATCATTTATTCACTTCAGTTAAGAGCAGCGAGTCTTTTGGGGCATATTTCTATCCACTTTGTTCTGCTGCAGGGTGAACTCCCACCCCACACTCACACTGTTTGGCGCCCTCCAACATAGAGGCGTCACATTCATTTTTCGTTCTGGGCCATTTCAGAAAACTACCCATTAGAAATCTGTTAAGATATCAATGCAAACGCTCTCTCTGCATTTGATGAGAACTTCTTGGACTGAAATCATACTCAACATCTTTTCACATTGGTGCAATTTGGCAGTATACAAAAAAAAAAACTGACTTGATTGAAAAAAAAAATCATGTTTTAGTCCTGCTTTCTACAGCTTATTTGTTGCTCATGTTTTACTTGCTCTTATTTTATATTCCTTTTATTTCTTTGAACTGTGGTCAGCTGGGATATGCAGATATATGTGACAGTAACACACATCCTCGAATTCAATTCAGTAATTGAAAAAATACTCTATTAATCCCAAAGGGAAATTAAATCAAATTAAAAAGCTATCGTGCCACTTTTTCACTTTACATTTTAAGAAAATAATTGAATACTCTCTAATATTTTCCTTCTGCTTTGGAATCACATGCAGCCTTTTTTAATTTTTTTTTTTTACATAAAACCTTGATGAAATACACTGCAGTTTGTGGTTTGAACATGAAAACATGTATACTTTTGGGAGGCACTTAGCAAACGCGACAGGCTTAATGAATGGAAGAATGGGAGAAACCCAAAAAGCATACAAGCTCTTTAAGTGGGCATGCTGGTAAATCCCAAATTGTTTAATTTACTTCCAGATCAGTTTTGTGCTTGGCTCTGCGGTTTGGGGCTCCCCAACAAACGCATGGCGAAGACATTTTTTGACGAACGCAGCGCAAGTCTCGCTTTCCTTTTTGCTGCTCGGCCGCTGAAATCTGGTCGCCGTTCTGGAAAGGTAGCAAAAATAATCCGCAGCCGGGCCTTAAAATAAACTTCGCCTCGCTGGAATAGGTGGTGACAATCTGGCCCGAAATGGCAGGCGTTTCTTCAAATAATCAGTCTTCCAGAACACAAGATTATATCACGGCCATTTTGTTCTGCATGCATGTCTTGGCAGAAAAAAAAAAAAAAAGGGGGAGAAAAGCCACAGCTTTTGAGTCGGGGACTAAACGGTTTTTATTTTTCCCACCTGTTCCTTCCGCGCGATCCGAGGCTCAGGTTTTTTTTTTTGGCTAATTGCGGGCCGTCTATTTGAAATTCAATCAAACAGTCTGCAGAGGGACTTCTCGCTATAAACACAAAGCGGCATTCCTAGTTTTCACTTTCTTTTACTGCTTTTAGACAATTACTCCCAGCAGGTCCTCCGGGCGAGCAGATCTCTTTAACACAAGCAGACAGCGGGGAATAATACAGTTAACCTGGGACGACTATAAACTCCAGTGTTGGTCCGACTCAGCCACTGGGCCCCTCCTGCCAACCCCCAGCTCCCGGCCTGCGTTTAACTGCGTTTCCACGAGTTAATGCCAAATCGTCGGGGGAGAAATCGCTCCACCTCTGTGTTTTTCTTCGAAAGGGCAGCAGGGGTTTAAAGCATAACCAATTGAGCCTGTAAACATTTGGATGTTTGCCAGTTTTTCTCCCTCAACTTCTAGCTTGTCTGATGTTTGCGTTTCTTTCTATCTTTCTATGTTTCTTTCTTTCTTTCTTTCTTTCTTTCTTTCTTTCTTTCTTTCTTTTTTTCTTTCTTTCTTTTATTTATTTATTGTAGAGCACTGAAGACGGAAAGCGAAGGGGACGGGTCCACCTGTTCCGGACAACCACCTGCGTACGAAGACGTTCACCCTTCGCCTCCCAAACACGAGTCGGCTTAAATGTCGGAGCATCCGGTGGGCGACGTCAACGCTTACGCTGACGACGTTGTTCCTTTTTCTTCTAACAGGCTTTAAAAAAAAAGAAAAAAAGAAATCGATTCTATGCTGTGTATCGCGTCTTTTTGCTAAAACGTTCGGGACTCCTGTTGAATTTTACCACACGGCTGCTGGCGTGGAAAGATGAAGCGGCGCATGCGTGCAGGTCGTGAAATCACTGAGGATGGAGGACTTCTTGTTGAAAAAACTTGTTAAAAAAAAACAAAACAAAAACAACAACAAAAAAGCAAAACAAAACTTGAGACGTATCAGCAAAAATCAGCTCCAGGACGTCTGTTTAAGACACACACACAAAACACACACACACACACACACACACACACACACACACACACACTTATAATTTACTTTCTCTCTGCTGGTACTTGCGCAAACCTACAAGGAGGCTCGTAAAAAGACCAACAAAAATAAATAAAGAAAGAAACAAAGAAATAAAAATCTGTGCTAAAAAAGATTGTTAAAAGGAAAAGGACCTAAACATAATTGTCATATGGTTGTAATTTCTGGCCTTTCATGATGTAGGAAAGAGCAAAAACGTGTTCCTGGAAACTGACAAAGTACTCAGTGTTTGAAAAGTTAAGTTGGGTTTAATTTCAGTAAAAGGGGGAAAAAAAAAAGAAAAAACTTTAAGAGTCTCGATGACACCAGTGTCCTCATGAACCCACTGACTTGCATATATGTATAATCTAGATTTTTTTCATAGTTTTATTTTGGGTGCCAGTTAAGCTTTTAAACATTGTCAAAGGTTTTTTTTTTCAGCCTCTCCTAGGATCAACGCTGTCCCAGCAGTAAACTTGAGTTTGTGGGGTAAGTCAAAGTGTCACTGCGCCACATGGGGGCAGAAACACTGAGCAAATCTTTTCTGTTCCCTCATGGAGGTCAAGTCAGGCTGTCACCCCCAACGACTATTTTAACATTATATCTGACAATTTATCATTATTATTATTATTATTATTATTATTTTAACCAGGAAATGTCCCTGTGGGATTAAACACACATTTTTCCCAAGAGAAACCTGGAAAATATAGGCAGCAAAAAAAAAAAAAAAAAAAACACATTTGACAAAGTTAGATAACAAGGAATATGTGATAAAATATATTGTTCTTTCTATTGTTATTACTACATTAGAAAAACATGGAGATTCAGATGCAGATTTTTTTCTCAAATCAAGCTTCAAGTTTTAATTATTATTTTGAATAAAAATACATGAATTATTCTCTTTTGTGTTGAAACTTAATACAAATAAACAGCTCTAAAGTGACTATATATATATATATATATATATATATATATATATATATATATATATATATATACATGTATAGCAGTAATCATAATAACACAAAAGGCAATAAATTGATATTTTTGAAAACTTCTCAGGACCTCCTCCAGGTTCCTCACCGTGTGCCAGAGCACATCTGAAACCGCAGCTCAATGTGACCTCCATTACTTTTACAGCTCAGTAAAACGCGGGTGGCCAACAAGGCCCCATTATTGCCCCATTTTCGAGAATTTGGAGACAATTTATGAAGCCATTAGAGAACGTGCTGAAGGATAATAACTCCGTGTGAAAGACATCCAAACACTTGCCAAAATAACAATAATAATAATAATAATAATTTAAAAAAAGACATATATATATACACACACACACACACACAGGATAAACAGCCAATAAATGAGCTGAGATTTCTTCCTCTGATGTGCTGAGACGTTTACAAGGTGAGTCAAATCGTTGTCAAAAGGCAACAAGTGTTTACCTTTCTTTCTTTCTTTCTTTCTTTCTTTCTTTCTTTCTTTCTTTCTTTCTTTCTTTTCTTTCTTTCTTTCTTCTTTCTTTCTTTCTTTCTTTCTTTCTTTCTTTCTTTCTTTCTTTTTTTCTTTCTTTCTTTCTTTCTTTCTTTCTTTCTTTCTTTCTTTCTTTCTTTCTTTCTTTCTTTCTTTCTTTCTTTCTTTCTTTCTTTCTTTCTTTCTTTCTTTCTTCATTTATTTGCTCATTTGAAGAGTTTCTGAGGCCTTATTGCTGGAGGCCCTCACATGTGCTCCCATGCGGCTCAACATTTCTGGGCGGATTTGGAAACATCTGACATGGCATTTATTGAAAATAATAATAATAATAATAAATCTAAAAATATATATATATATATATTTTCTATTTAAAACACAAAACAAAACCAAAGGGTCAGTTAATCCCCGCAAGTCGTGATCAGACTGCGGCAATTAACAGTGATGCTGTGGTGCGGGGGGTGGGGGAGGGGCTTTAGCTGCCGCACACTTTGTGTTTCCATTGTTGTTACAGCACACACACACACACACACACACACACACACACACACACACACACACATGCACAGCACTGCTTGGCCTGTGAAGCTCAATCTGGTGTTTTGGGCTGTAACTTGAGCTCATTGTGCGCCGTGTTCAACAAGAGGCTTTGTTGTGACTGATGAAAGGCCGAAGACGATTATTCGAAACCACACGGTCATTTCGACGAAACGGGTTACAAACATTTACTTTGATTAAGGAAGGCGAGGGGGGGGCATTGTTGTATCGGTCATAGTTATTTTTGTTGTTTAAATAAGTCACTGATGCAAATTTAATTTAATTCTCTATTTTGTTTTATTGCTATTTGCACCTGAAATTTCAACTTGTGATACTTTCTGGGATGTTGTCTCCAAATAGACGCCAACAAGAAGAAATGCAGGCAGCATTTTGGCCCCTCAGCTGCAGGGTGACGTCAAATTCCTCCGTTTTCAGCAGATTTGAATTTTGCCATATTCAGGCTAATAAAAGCATTAATCGGCTTTTTGGCTTTATGTAACCAAACTTTTAAACCACCGGCCATTCAATTGGTTTTGTTGTGGTTGTTGTTTCTTGGTGGCATGTCTCAGCTTCTTCAACTTGAGTTTCATTAACAAAGACAAAGAAAGAAGAGGGCAAAAAAAACAACAACAACAAAAAAACAAGGTGATTAAGTACGATTTATTTTCTTACATGAAATTATCGGAAATTTAACTGAGATGTATAAAATACACATGAAATAAAACTAACAGGTAACTAATTGGTGCATTTTCTTTATGACAGATAAAAATACCATAATAAATACTAACTAACTAACTAACTAACTAACTAACTAACTAACTAACTAACTAACTAACTAACTAACTAACTAACTAACTAACTAACTAACTAACTAACTAACCTTGTGTAAATAAATAATGGCCAAAAAGTTTTAAACAAAACCAAAAAAGTTGAACAAGGTTTTGTAAACAATGAGGAAGAAACTCTTACTTCACCAGAATATTTATTTATGTATTTATTTATTTGGGAGAGTAAATAACAGTAGGTGGATCCTGTTGGCACTTTTATCCCACTGTTGCTTAAATATATAATATTTTTATGTAATTTTCTGAACGTATCAAAAAGAGCCCAAAGCTCGGTCTGCACCAGCTTTCTGTCTACTTTCAGAAGACCTGAGCTGCCACAGCAGACTCTGGGTGGAGATGGAGTGTGTGTGTGTGTGTGTGTGTGTGTGGGGGGAGGGGAATGGATTCCATGTTTGCAGGGAAACACGCTGGAGGCGCAGGAAAACTTTGTTGTTTGTGAAGCACACATGAAACCACTCAGAACTGAATTATCTTCTCCGGCTTTTGCCGTCTGCAGCCTCTCGGTTTCTCGGCAGCCGTGTCGCCACCCAGCGAGCGGCTCTGCGCCCCGGTGCGTGAAGGGAGGGCGCAGGGAAACGCGGTGAGGTTCCCATCCTGCACGTCTGTCTGTGCGCCTTCTGCTCCTCTCTGCTACTGTAAAAGAACATCTGACAGGTTTGATTTTTTTTAATTCTTTTTGCCCCCGGCAGATCTTGTTTCCTTGTCCTTCCTGCTTCCTTCCTGACGTGAAGGAAAGTCATTGCCCATTTTATTTTATAAGTTTGTATGAAGATGTAAAGAAGATTTTCTCTCTCTTTTTGCGCGTCGTTTTTATTGCGTTGGCATCTAAATGCAATAAGTCACACCAGATCATTTTTTTCGGATGTATCAGAGAAACTACAGCTGAACACATCTATCTGCATGCCACACTTTTCAGTGTTTTCTCATTCATAAAAAGACTCCAGCCAGCCCCCCTACTTCATGGTGATGCGTTACTTTGAATTGTGTATGAATCCCCAGGTCCTGGGTTCAAATCCCAGCCTGCTGTCTCTCTGAACAGAGCTTGCTCTCCTTCATTGCCTGCATCGTGTCGCCCCCGGATACGTCGCGGCTTCAAACTCGACTGCAGGTCAGCTGGTCTCTTAAAGTAGGCCTCCAGTGTGACTGCGTTTGTAGGCGGCCGTCACATGAGCTGAGTGAGTGGCGAGCCATCCAGGAGTCGCCGGGTCCCTTTTGACCCTCTGCAAGGACGGGGGTCAGGACACGGACGTTCTGTGCTCAGGTTTATTAGAACGTCTTATTCCTCCACTCGGCGGCGTGTGAACCCACCAACCAACACTGGAAGCACACGTCCTTCCCCCTGCTGATCACTTCCCCATTGCGTTTTTTGCACTCAAACATTTGGCTTTACGGCAGGCCTCTGTTTCTCCTCAGAGAGCAGGTGTTCAGCTCGTTCGGACCCAGCACTGCGAGGTCGGCTTCTCTGCAGCGACGGAGGAAATTGCCGTATGAGGGCAACCGCAGCAGGCCATGAGACTGTAGTTTAAGTGCAATTACATGAGTCCTGCGCGAGGGTCAGCGCTGCGTCTCACCGCAGGATTACATGCACTGTGGAAAGACTTCTGTGATTACACTCCTGAGCCCTGCTCGGTTTTATATATGATAACTTTTGGGCTCTAATGCTCTTTATGAGAAACGTCTTTATGAGAATTGTAGATCCCTTTCACGAGTAGGCGGCTTTAGATGACATTATTGCATGAGCGAGGCTCCGCCTTTGGGGGAGGCACGGAGGAGAAGCCGCGTCGTTCAACAGCCTCTGATTTCTAATGCAAAGCGGAGGCTCCATCT